AAAAATCTGTATGAAAATAAAAATCTCAGGGGACAATTTGTTATGGAAATGTAAACCTCAGGGTGTAGAATGTAATTTCTCAAACCTCAGGAAGAAATCTACATTTTCAACAAATCTCAGGGTGTAGAATGTAATTTCTCAAACCTTAGGAAGAAATCTATATTTTCACCAAATCTTGAGAGGGTGTTTGTAATTTGCCCGTAAAGAATAGCTTGGGCATTGACATTCTTAGTGATTTCGATTTTTTTATGGGTGATAAAAAAATTAATGTGTTTAGAAATTATCTTTTTCAATTTATCAAAAATCATTAATTACGGAGATGTTTGACTTTTTTTTTGTTGTTGACCTTTTTATATGACTTTTTAATTTTTTGATTAAAATAATTTTAAAAAATTAAATTACCAAAATGATAGTATGATAATTTTATTCTGGTATTAGAAGGTATTTAGTTGATTTTATTTTTTTGTTGGATGGTCCTAGAAAAAATTATGACAATGGAATATTTGTATAGACCTTATGATAATTTAATGATATTTTTCATCAAATACTATTAAAAAATGTTAATAATTGTTAATTTCAATGACAATTTAAAAATTTTGTCAAAAAAATGTTACTAATTATAAGTTTTAGTGATCATTTAAAAAAATTATCAAAAAAATATATTTCCAAACGGCCAAAATGCCAATTCTAAAGTCAAATTTTCAGATCTGAAAATCTGTAAATCGCTACGGTAGTTTGTCCCTTAGCTCCGGCGGCAGGCAGGTGAGGTGGGTCAGGTTGGAATTAAATGGAGGTGTCCAACAAAAAGGAGAAAAATTCAAAATTTGACTTGGGGTGTATAAAGGAATGCGGTGCCCAATCAAATTATTGGAGTGTATGTAGAGCTATCCTTACTTAAAGAATGGGAAAAGGAAAATGTTTGAGAGTCACAATTTTTATGGTCACAATGGTTTAAAATTGCTAAAACGATGTCGTTTTGGGTGCAAAATATGTCAAAACGACGTCGTTTTGGCAGTTTTGAGCCATTGTAATCACAAAAATTGTGACTCTCTAGCATTGTTGATGGAAAAATTATAAACACCCTCTCGAGATTTGATAAGAATATAAATTTTTTCTTAAAGTTTGAAAAATTACAAATTGTCTCATGAGTGTCAAATTTTCATAATAAATTAAGAGAAATTAAGGGAGAATCTGTATGAAAATAAAAATCTTAGAGGACAATTTGTTATGAAAATATAAACCTCAGAGTGTAGAATGTAATTTCTCAAATCTCAAGAAAAAATCTGTATTTTCACCAAATCTCGAGAAGGTGTTTGTAATTTGCCCGTAAAAAATAGCTTGGGCATTGACATTCTTAGTGATTTTGATTTTTTTATGGGTGATAAAAAATTAATGTGTTTAGAAATTATCTTTTTTAATTTATCAAAAATCATTAATTACGGAGATGTTGGACTTTTTTTTGTTGTTGGCCTTTTTATATGATTTTTTAATTTTTTGATTAAAATAATTTAAAAAAATTAAATTACCAAACAGCATCTAACTTTATAATATAATATGCATCCATTGAATTTGTGTGGATATTTTTTTGGATCTATCACTAATCTTCTTGTTGTGTCCTTTGAAAACTCACAAGCAAACAAACTAGATTGGATCACACCTCACCTCAACATGATCCATATTTGGGCTTGGTTTTTCGGGACATTTTTTTTAGCATCATTCTCATATTTTCATTTCAATTTTTTATGTTTTCAAAATGAAATTATTATTATTAATCTTTCTTTCTTTTCTTTTTCTTTTTTTTTTTTTTTTTTTTTTTTTTTTTGAGAACATCATTTGTACATTTAACTACCTAAGAGGAGGAAAGGAAATGTTTACTATTAAACCCTCGACTAATGAAGTCCTTAATCACTGCGTGAGATGCCAAGTTTAAATAATAGTAAATTAAAAAAGAGGAATTTTTTTTAAGGTTTATGGTATTAAGATTTTATAGTATAAAGGACACTCAATATTTTCATGATGTCTAAGGTCCCTCAACATCAATCCAGAGAAAATTCAATTCAGAGAAAATTCGATCCAGAGAATTTATCTAGACAAATCACAGAGAAAATTTCAAATTTCTTTGGACACATCACAGAGAAAATCTCACCAGAGAATTTCTCTAGATTCAACCTAGAGAAATTTCCCTCTCCACTACAGAGAAATTTACTCATTTCCATAGAAAATTCCCTCAAACCAGAGAAATTCACTTGTTGCCTGCAGTTTGATAGAAGGGTTCAAGAATATAACCAATACGAGACACAATGCAATACATGGAACTAAAGAGTGTGCATCTTGATATTGATAGCTTACCAATGTCTTGAATCAGCACTTCTGTTAACACTGTAATGCACTTATCCAGAGAGAAAAAGAGAGATACCAAAGGACCAGATATAGGTGCTAATATCAAATGTCTTCTTAGTTGTTTTATGACCATAGACCAGCTCAATTTGAGGAATGTATTGACAACAATAAACAATGTACTTACATGTTTAAACAAGTCAAAAATGTTTGGATGCACAAGTAATATACCATTAATAGAAGATTAAAAAATGAACCAATTAAAACATGTATCTGGAGAGAATGAACCATTCCCGAATTTCTCTGGATAAGAATTTCTCTGGAGAGAATGAGATGATTTGCCATCATGTGAAACTTTGAGAATTGTGATTTCCAAAACCCAAACAATCAAAATCATCTCGTCCGTTTCTCCTTCGGATCATCAAAACCGTACACCGGCGCTGCAGGTGCATCGTCGGGACATTTCCTTCCTACCATCTCCTTCAACCTCTGCTTGAACAGACCACTGTTTCTCAGCGAATTCAACGCCACCAATCCACCGAATAAATTCTCGTTGAAGAAAATCTGAGGTACTGATGAACTTCCAATTCTCTCTACCAACTCTTTTTCTCTCGTTGGATACACATCGATGTTGATTTCGACGAACTTCAATCTTCGCTCTTTGAAGAACGATCGAACCGCGTTGCAATCTCTGCAGTTCGATCTCGAGAAGAAGTTGATTCGCCCTTTGAATTCGAGATCTCTGTTTTCATTCCCGTTCTTGGGCTTCACGATCACTTTGAGTCCTGAGAGATTGAACTGTGTCACATTCGAAATCAAATTCGAATTCGACTTCGAATTTGATTCATTGTTCTCCCGGAAGAATTTCCCGATCGCCGGCATGTCAACCGAGCTAGTTTCCGGCAAGGACTGCGACCGTTGCATAGAAGGACAGTTATCGCCGTCCGATTATCATTTTCTAAGAGAAGAGGTGATGCGTGAGTCTGAAAGAGAGGAGAGAGAGAAAGGTGAATGTTTGAAGCTTATACCAAATTTGTCTATAATACATGGGGCGTGGGGTTGAGGGACCTTAGACATCATAAAATATTATTGTGGATCTTTTCCATTACTAAAATTGGGAGAGGGAACTTAGACTAATTTTTTCATTAAAAAATACAAATAATTTTTGTAACAAATTTGATTGTTTAAGATCTCATAGAATAGTTTTAATTGTTTCTTTTATTATTTTTTATTTTTATGATCGGGTGTTTGGGTTAGCGCGCACTTTAATTAATCTAGGGATTCACGCGAAGCGCCCCTACCACGTGAATCAGATAAACTCGGGTAGAGTTTGCGAGCGTGGTCCAAAGTAACAGATTGCTTCTCATGGGAGTTAAACCTGAGACTTAGAGAGAGTACAACCGTAAGCCCCGAGTTGCACTCACTAAGCCAACCCCTTAAGATTTTTTAATTGTTCTTATAGATGGATTGTTTTCAGAAAATTTTCTCCTAAACAAGTTTCTATATTGTTATATTATTTTAATTTTTTGGTTTTCAAGAGTAGAAAATAGTTTTAAAAAAACAATGCCAAACCCAGAAAAGTCATCCCAATTTTATCCAACAATAAATGAACATGAACCACAACACTTATGGGCCACACTTTTAGCCCTAGCTTGATGGTTCTGGGCTGATCCATCTTCAAATAGTGAATAGACAAAACTACCCTCATTAAGTTTTTATATTGACGAAAATACCCTTCTTGCGACTGAAACAGAGCAACACTCTCTGTTCAGGTTGGTAGACTAGAGAGGTCATCTTCTTGAAGATGAAAACCCTGACACATGAAGCACGAATACTTTAAATAGGATGATGTATTTATATCGTATTTGTATTGATTATTGATATTTTTTGAATATTTGTAGATATGTATCGAATATTTATTAAAAGTATTAGATATTTTTTAATTATTTTTTCATTAATTTTGAAGTATCGGATATTTAATTTTGAAGTATCGGATATTCTAAGTCATGTTTACTTACTTTATGAAATTAGAATTGTAACATTTCTTACATAGTAATATAATATAATATAATTGTAAGTATAAATATAAGAATATTTTTTTTAGTATTTTGTTAAGTTCTTTGACAAGAAAAGCATAGTGAGTTAAAAAATAGAATTTATCAAATTGATGTATCCTAATTATTTCATGCATGTCCCCTATAATTACATAGAAAGTAAGAATTAATAAGAGAATATAACAATTAGTGTCAAAGGAAAAAGCATAGGAACAAGTTGTGAATTGTTCTATTATTGTAATGTAAATATATTAAACTTGATATTGAAATGAAATATTTGTAAGACCTATAAAAAATTTAAAAAGTAAACAAGCTATTAGTTCTATTAGTTTAAATTAATACAAAATTCTTAAAAATTAATATTTTACATTATAAAATGACATTGTAATTTCTCAACGTTTTTTAACTTACGTGTAACTCACTATTAATAATTTTAAAAAATATATTTTTCACAAAAATATATTTTTCACAAACGTATCTTAACTGTACCAATATCTTATTTTTCTAGATGTTTTTATGTCACCATATCCGTATCCGTATCCATATCGTATCTATATCTCGTATCCGTATCTCGTATCCTTATCAATGCTTCCGACACCAGGACTCGCAATATGGGCCCTCAATTTTCATACCTAAATTTTCGTTGCCACTTTCCTTCACTTTCCCGGGAAAATCCTAACTTGCTCAACTTCTCCCACAGAAAATGGCTTTACCATCCCAAAATATTGACTCTCTGCTCCACCATAACCTCTGACTCACTGAGTTATGGTGGATGGGACGACCCAAGACTGGGTGGTGGCTCAGTTCACTCTGGTGAGTCAAACCAGCTCCGTTATCTTGATAAAAGGTACATCTTTGTGTACCTATTAGGGTTTATTTGTGCTTTGGCCATTTCTAGGGTTAGGGTTTCTTCAACTATTGTGTTCCCAGCTTGTGTCATTGTTTTTTCTGTTGGGTTTTCGATTGGGTTTGTTAATGGTGGACATGTGAGTTAAGCTTAATTGGAACCACGAAGAGGCCAAATGATAAAAAAATTAGGGTTTCAATTAAGAAATTGAGGAATTTGATGGATTTTCTTTCTGGGTTTGATGGTAAAATCAATAATTTAATCAATGGCATAAGAAGAGGTATTGGGAGTAATCATATCACTGTGGATGATTTGGAGAGTTATATTAAGGTCTTGGAATCAATTGGGTTATCTAATTTGAATGCTAGAAGTGTTGTTGAGGCTTGTACTGACACCATGTTAGTTGAGAACCAAGAAGTGGAAAGAAATTTGAATCAAAAGTTGAGTAGGAGAAAGAAAGAAGTGGGTGAAACCGGGTTTGATTTGTTACAGTTTATTGGCGGTTTGATTCGTGGAACGTCAGTTGGTTTGAAGCATAATAAAATGAGAGACAGTATTAAGAGGGATTCAAATCATGTAGAGGTTAACGATCAAAGTCAAGGTAACATTTAGGCGCCCGCAGTGGATGAAAAGGTTTTAAGTTCAGTGTTTAATGATAATTTAGGAAATAGAACTGCAGCCATTTCTGGATATACTCGTTATAAGCTTGATATGGTAAATGAAGCTAGAAGAATAAATTTATTTGTGCATGATCAAATGAAAATTTCAGATCACATGATAACTTTCCTGATTCTGTGGATTTTCGTGTCGATTTAAAGCAGATGAAAACTGAGGCTTCGTTTGAACAAGAACGGATTCTCCACAAAACCAATGGAAGTTACAGGGAGAACAGAGAAAAAGAGATTTACAAAACTCATAGCAGAGAAGAAGAGAGGTTGATTTCTGAAGATGATCCGTCACACAATAGTGATATTGGTTCTTTTCCATCTTTGACAGTTTCGGATGATATTGTGTTCAATAGGTATCTTATGGAAGCTAATGCCTTTCTGAAAGAAGCCCGGGAATGTTTGACGGTTAACGGTGATGAAGGACATGCAGAAAGTGTATTATACGAGTCTGCAAAATTACTCTGTAAAGCCATAGACATGAAGCCTTTGAGTACTGGCTGTGGCCCAGTTGGGAAATACTTATCTTCTTCATGGAGAACTGAAATTGAAAATCAGTCATTGATTGAGAGCTCTACTTGCAAACAGTGACCTGGTATTAATTCAGAAACGGGGTAAAGTTCTCAAAGGACTCCTTGTTGAGGCGGGAAGAAAATATAGGCTGGCCTTGTCAATTGACGGAAATGATACAAGAGCCTTGTATAACTGGGGTCTTGCCCTGAACTTCCGTGCACAGTTGATTGCAGATATTGGACCGGTAAGCATTGTCCTCAACACTTATCTTTGTTTTTCTTCATATGTTTTATTAAACAACTTTGAACTCGTACAAGCTGAAATGGGTTTAGAAATCAGTCAATTAAAGGAATTTCTGACCTTATAAAAATTATTAGCTATTTCATTGACATAAATATGCTAGAAATTACTTTGATTGGGTATACGGGTTAAATTTAAACTTCACTGTTGTATTTTTCAATGGCTCAGGAAGCAGCTGTTGACGTTGACAAGATTTTCTTGGCTGCAATCGACAAATTTGATGCCATGATGTCCAAAAGCAATGTTTATACATCTGATGGTACGATAATTTGCCTTTTAAGTTAAATGTTCATTCCTTATGCTGTTGTGCTTATGATAATGGAAATTCAGATATCTAATTACTAAATTTTGACAAATGAAGAGATCAGTGGCCTCAAGTGTGTATGGTAATGGATATTGAGTGACTATGACTGGCAAATGTGCATATTTCTCAAGTCCAACTTCTGCTTAAATTGCTCCTACTTAAAAAATATGGAAAATTATCAACAAAAAAAAAAAAAAAAACTCTGAAGTTTGACTCTTGTAACAAAATAAACCTTGAGTTTTTAATTTTGTCAATTTAAACCTTAATTTTTTTTTTCAATCTAAATTATTTGTCTATTTTCGTTAAGTAAAACTAATAGAAAAAAAATATTTTAGTCATTAAAATTCAATGTACCGTGTTAGGAAATCGTCTCTTCCTAACTAGGGTCGATGAGACACAAAATAGCAAACAAGAAAGATAAATGAATCAAAGAAATCAAACATACACACATAATACAAAGATTTACGTGGTTCAGCCTAGAAAAGAGTTACGTCCACAAATGCTGTAGTTGAAAATAATACAACTCATACAAAAAAGAGCACTCCCTTCATTTATTTATAAGTATAGGATTAGGGCAACATGGAAACAATTGGGAAATTACCAAAGTAGCCAGGGCTCAGTGAACAGTACTTATTAGAGTCCACAGACCCAACATACCCGTTTTTGTTGAGATTAATGACTAAAATACTTTTTTTTCCATCAGATTTACTTGACAAAAATAGGCAGGTAGTTTAGATTGAAAACAAATCAAAAGACTGGATTTAAATTGATAAAATTAAAAATTCAAGATTTATTTTGTTACGAGGGTCAAACCTTAGGGTTTTTCCTATATTTTGCCCTGAAAAATAATAAAAATAAATAAATAAATAAAACTGCTAACCCCTAAGGATATGACTTCTGCAGGAACTTGTTCGTCTGTGATGATTGAGTTATTTAAAATTGATATGAAACACAAAATTTATTGATTTGTTGTGAAAATCACTTTTTTTAGGGTTGATATAGAACTTGTTATTACAATGAGAAGGCACTATCTTAATTAAGCTCCTGGAGACTTGTCTAGTTCAAAATATGCATACAGCTTAATATCTATCACAACCTTGCTTTTCCATGCTAATGTGAAGATCAAATCGTGATTTGAGTAACTTGCAGCTCTGTATAGATGGGGTGTGGCATTGCAGCAAAGGTCTCGACTACGGCCAAGGGACAGTGAAGAGAAGGCGAAGTTACTGCAGCAAGCAACGAGGCTATATCAAGACGCGCTTGACATTGACTCAGACAATCTCCAAGTAACAGAAGCTTTATATTCATGCATTTCTGTGCTCAATTTTAGGAGATAGATAGTAATGCTTTGTTGTAAAATGCCAATTTTTTCGCTTTTCCTTGCCCTTTTCTTCTTTCCGTAGTTCCTTTTTTGTTCATGCCCCACACCATGCTTGCCAAATGCAAGCCTAAATAAGGTCTATTATTTCTTCTTTTTCACCGACCACCATGCCTGGACCCTTTGGACTCACCCCTGCAGAGTAAATTCTGAGTACCGTTAGAGTCCCATCCTGACCACCATGCCTGGACCCTTTGGACTCACCCTTGGGGAGTAAATCCTGAGTAACGTTCTACACACCACGGTAGTCGGGAGATCAAACCTGACTATGAGTTGTGTGAGAGTTGTACAAGCTTTTTCTTCACCATCCTACTTTGGCTCTTTTTTGCTACCCTAACTTTGGCACATATTGAATGTGCTAATTTGGGAAGTTTGTAATAACACCCACATGTAAATCAAAATATTGCTAAGTTAACACTTTCTGGTGGACAATATACTGAGTACAACATATATTTGAGAAGCATGATATTGTACATTGTTTCATCACTTTATGTATCTGGATTGTGAGAAATTATTCTTGGAACAATACTCTATTTCATTTGCTGATCAATACCTCACATATTCTCTCCTTAAAACAACATAGAAGTGATAGGTCTCAAAGTTTAGACCAATAGTTATTAATTTAGAGCATTACTCAGATTTCCTCCAAAAACATTGAATAAATTCTCTTCTCTGTAACTCTGCTTTTGTTATTGCTAGAATGAGTTCTTATTCTTAGCTTAAAATTTGGCATAAATCTCTTCTCTGTAACTCTGCTTTTGTTATTGCTAGAATGAGTTCTCCCCTTCGGGTTTTTGTCGAACCCCAGCAACGCTTCGAAAAACTTTCAATATCCCAGAAAATGTCACAATTCCGACAATACTATAGTTCTCTTCAACAACCCAAATGTAACTAGAGCGATGAACAAGCGCTTGAATCATCACCGCCACCAAAGAACTGCACGGATGGCACACGATTGGCTCTGACCTCCTCGCTGGGGAATACCAACCTGACCCACCACTCCTGAACCCAAAATCTTCGTCGGAAGAACAACTAGAGGAGGAAGATAGCGACGACACTGAAATTTCCTCCATTAATTCCAACATCGATCCTAACTTCTTCTCCTCCAACCTCGACTTCACCAACTGAACCAAGTCCTCCGGAGGACCACCGTAGTTGATGTACGCCATTAAATCACCAGCAGAGAGGGTTGTGATTGCTGCAGCAGCAGTCTCGTCGGAACAAGCTAGTGTGTAAGGCGATATTTCACCTATCAATCTGTGGCATTCTTCAACAACACCAATTGATTTTTGTTCAATGAAGGAGCGAGAAATGAAGTCCACAACAGAGGAGGCGGGTTTATCGTAGTAGATGGTCATGGGATCGGTGTCAATGACGTTAAGTGATTCGATTGTGAGAGCTGGGAGTGGAGAGAAGACGCCAATGGAGTTGAGGAGGAAGCGGACCACGTCTTCTTGAGTTAGCCAACAGAATTCACGACCGTTGTGGAGGGTGGAGCAGCCGAAGGAGGAAGGTTGTTTGTTAAGGTGCTTCTTCGTTGAAGTGATGCTTAGATTGCTCTCAATTGGCACAACCAAGTTTTGGGCGCCTTCAATTATGTAATCTATTGCCTCCAATAAGCTGAGAAAAAAATAAAATAAAATAAAAAAAGTGTAAATTAAAGAAAATTATGGTTTCCAAGAGAAAAATCATCTAAAAATAACTCACTTTTTAAACATAACAATTTTTTTTTAATTAAAAAACAAAACAAAAATAAAAACACAATGATAATTTCAATTTTATTAAGAGGTCTGCTAATGATAGCTTGGGTGTTCCTTAAAGTTTAAATAATGGTTAAATGATGCTAACAAAGTTACAACTTTGTTAAGAGTTCTGCTAATACATTTCATACGTTTTTACATACAACTATGCTAAAGATGCCGACTAATCTACTAAATTTTCTACAGAACTTTTCACATGGGTGTGGTACTTGTGAGAGCTTTAGTAGAAAATTTGATAAATTGTTTGGAATCCATAGCATTTTCCTTTACATATTTCAACTCATTTTTTACCATTTGCCAATATTATTAATAGTAGCATTTTCTTTTTTATGAAAACACAAAAAATGAAATTAAGAAACAAATACCAAAGACTACAAAAAAAAAAAAAAAAAAAAAAAAAAAAAAAGAAGAAGAAGAAGAAGAAGAAGAAGAGGAGGAGGAGGAAGAAAGAAAAAAGAAAAAAAAGAAAAGAAAAGAGAAGACATAACCAAAGAACTAAGATCCCCTCCTCGAGCCCAAATTTTGATGTTCTGTCAATGGGTCTGGTTAACGTGTGCGTTCAAGGTACAAATTAGAAAAAGTTCGAAAAGCATTGTACATTCTCTGATCCACTCACTCTTATGGTTAATGTCCTTTTCAAGCATTTAACAAAATCCTAATAAAAAATTACCAAATTACAGTAAATCTAATCAAATCATATTATTAGAAGTTGTTTTTCTCCCTAGATCATCTAATACATCATAGAAATTCTGTGAGGGTGATTGTTCCATGGAAGAATATTGGATTTGAAAACATAATTTAAGGCGTTAAATCAAGATTACCTCCAATTTAAAATTCAGGATGTGATCCCTCTTATCAAACCAAAGTCCCTATAATTCAATTATAACGAATTTACAAATCTAATCACATCAAAGACTTCCAACATTGGCACATAATTGTAATCGTAAAATCGAAGTGAATAACAAACCTAGATTGCGATTCTAAAATTGCTACATAAATTTATGAATTTAATCATAAAATCATCAAAAACACGGAAAAATCAAAATAAGGCCTAAATTTAATCTCAGAATTGTATTGTCAATTGATATATTATTATGCTGATCAAATTACAATGTAGTCCATATACTTTGGGCCTGTCATTTTGATATTCATAATTTCAATCAACTCAATTTTAACTTTTTTTTGGATCAAATTAATTACAACTTAATAGAAAATACACACATATAACATGTGTAATATTTTAAGGAAAAAATTATAATTATTTTTTTGATAAATTGGAAAAAATTATAAATTTACTTTAGTTAGTTATCCTCAATCAGTTTAATAATTATTTTTTGTCAACCAAAATGCTAGAGACTCAAAAGATTTATTAAAATTTCTACCAAATATTTCATATAGATGTGGAATCCTACCATGCAGTTCCATACGAATCTCACGCCATATAAGACATTTCATAAAAATTCTAATAAATCTTTTAGGCCCCGTTTGTTTTCAAAAATAGAATCGAGAGGATTGATAGCGAGGGAATTACTAGTGAGGGGGTTGATAGTGAGGGAATTAGTAAAATTGTGTTTGTTTTCATAGTGAGGGGATTAGTAAAATTGTGTTTGTTTGTTAGTGAGAGGATTGATAATGAGGGGATCGTTAAATTATTTTTTATATAAAAAAATAAAACAAATAAAATTATGATTTTTACTTAACAAAAAATACAAAAACATTAAACATTAATGTTTAAAAAAAAATGCCCAAGAAGTTAACAAAAAAAAAAAAAAAAAAATTTGTGTCGACCGGTTGACCAACCGGTTGACCGGCCGGATCTCCGGACGGACGTCCCATAACACCCAATCCGAATGGACTAGTTGCTAATACCATCTCTCACTCGAGATTACTAATACCCTTTGATGAGGCCCATCATAGTCCCTTCGAACTACTAATCGGAGTTCCAAAATCAAAACAAATGGAAGCTTTGTTCACCGTTCATCTATCACAGTCCGTTCATCTATCACAGTCCGGAGTCCGGAGTGGACTGTGATAGCTGATAACAAACGGGGCCTTAGATCTGTAGCATTACTCATCCGCCAAACACACTAACCACATTATGAATTAAAATAAATTGACACAAAATCTAAAATTGAGGATAGCCAATTGAAAGTGTAGATATCGAAATGAAATAAAAGATAAATTGTAATGGCTATCAGTGTAAGGGCTCGTTCAGGAAGTAAATTTTTTAACTTAAAAGTTAGAAAGTTACTTAAAAAAATAAAATAAAAAATCAACCACCTATACTAAAAAATTACAAATTTTAGTTTCTCTCTGTTTTTTACACATTTTTTTCGTAAAAAATCAAAAAAATCAATCCAAATATACAAATTTTTTTATATCATATTTTAGCTAAAAAACTAAAAAAATTACTTAGAAAAGCATGTTCTGAGGCCTAATTTGTCCTATTATCTCCACAAATCTTGAATTTGGAAACAGAATTTAACGAGTTGAAAAGACGATCTCCAATTTAAAATTCAAGATGTAGTCAAAAGCAAAGATAAGTAATCAATAAATCCAATTCACATCAAAACACTTCCAATTCACCATTGTTAATTTCAACCATAAAATCGAAATGAAGCGAGCACAAACCTAGAATGCGATTCCAAATGCCGGACGAGACCAGGCACTTTGGGAAGGAGATCAGAGATCGGCGATTGAAGCGCCAAAGAAGGACTCAACAGGTTCGTCACTCTGCATAGAAAGCAAATCACATCAACCATGCAAACCTTGCCGACGCATCGGCAATCAGTCTTCTTCGCAGCAGCCGAAGAATGGTCACAGTTCCATACGCTGACGTAGCTCTCGCCGGACCTCTTGAGCGCCGATAATGCGTCGGCGACGGTGGCGGAGAACGGAATCGAACTCAGCGCCGGCTTTCCAAGGCAAAGGTCCGACACCTCACGAGCCAGAAACCTAACTGCCATGCAATAACAGAACGAATCTGGGATGGAAAGAGAGGATTTTCTCGAGAAAGAGTCGAGCAAATAGAGAGAGATGTAGAAAATGTATGTACGTATGCGAGGGGTTGATATTGAAGGGGGTAAAGTGTTGGAGTTTGTTTGACAGGCTGTTTATTTGAAACGGAAAACAGATATTTTATCTTCCGATGTTCCCAAAAAAAAAATAAATAAATAAAACAGATATTTGTAGCCGGCAGTTACCGGGAATAGCCGGTGACTTGTACGGAGTATTTTTTTTTGTTACGGTCATATTTGGTGAATACTATTTTTTATTAATTATAAATGTATATATTTTTATTATTTTTTAAACATTTAGGGGTGGTTTGGCCTCTCTTATATAATCTATCTTTTTATTTTTTTTTATCACATCACTTCTTTATTTTTTGTACATCTTTTCGTAAAAAAATAAAAAGTATATTTATTTAGATCATTCCAAACAATCCCTAATAATGTAGCAGCAACTTGACAAGTTAGATAGTTGGGAGGACTCTTGCAACCCTTGCTGAACATTTCTGCCTATGACCTTCTCCGGCAAGCCCCCCTGTCTGAATACCAACAACTACCTTTGCCCACGTTCGACGAGTTCCCGCCATCTCTATCCACTAACTACCACATTCAGTCATCACTGCTTATCACTTGTTTTCAAAACAAGTTATTGAAAACTTATTTATATACTAAAGGCAGAATTACATTCAGCCTAAAGTTAGAAAAAAAAAATTACACAAAAATGATAAGCTTTATAAATATTAATAATTAAAATTATAAACTTTTCCATGTCTTGGTAAATATTTTTTCCAAACCCACTTAATTGTAATTACACCTACAATAAACATTTTTTTAAATTTTTTTTTTTTAAAATAATAAACCTAAGCATGTTTCATGTTTTCTTAAAATGAAAGATTGTATAGTACAAATATTACTAAACCCTTTCTTACTCTACCCTTGCCATCTTCTTGATTTTCATCCCCGCGATAAAGAAGTGAGTGAGAATATATCCTATTGCCTAATCCGGCTCCATTGCTATTCCCAACCCGGAAAATTATTCAATAATCTTGGAACACCACATGCCTATACTCCAAGCTAATCACCAATTACTTAGCCGCATGTTATTCTCCTATTTCCAACATAAATTTTCTACTGACTTGGTAAAATCTTGACCATCCAAAGTAGTGGACTATGTGGCTTGGATAATAGAAAGAAATATTCTAATTATACTGAATCTGATAACAAAACAAAATCTCCCTCACATGAGGTAACCCACCAAATGTGAGAATGTCATCCTATGTGATAGAATTGTGTCCGATTTTATGGACATAGAACAAATTTGGCGAAGAACTCTACTGGAGAATAGTCGGAACTGTGATAAACACAAACACCTATTAAAAAAATGATAAAGCTCGATTGGAAATATATTATTTTAATAATTTTTTAATTAAAATATGAGGTAAAAAAATTTGTATGTTTGGAATGATTTTTTGATTTTTTATAAAAAGATATGCAAAAAAATAGAGAGAAAAGAGTATCTTTGACTTTTTTGTATAAGTTATAGATTTTTTAATTTTTTTAGTAATTTTTTAACTTTTAAGCTAAAATTATTACTTCCCAAATGATGCCTTAAATAAGCACGTATCCATGTAGAAGGTCATTGATAAAATATTATCGATAATTATTTTTATTTTTATAAAAGAAATTCAATATATGAATTGATATCTACTTTTTCAAAGATAGAATAAAAATTTAAGATTTTTTAAAATAATTTTTAAACTATGAAAGTATAGTTTGGGAGCTCAAGAAAACAAAATTGTCCGTCTAAAAATGTAATAAAAAAAGGAACAAAATTATAGGGATCACGGGTCATTGATCTTGTAAAATTCTTATGGTGAGACATGGTTATAGAATTTTGTTAACATAGGGCAACAACCAATAATTTTTTTAAAAAAATATTTTTATTTAATTATTAAAATTTAAAATTTTCATATGAAACTTTGGAAGTTTCACAATCTTTTTTAATGAAATGTCACTTTGTTATAATATATATACATAGATAGATTGAAATGTCGATGCATATAAAATAAAATCATTAAACATCAAGAAATTTTTTTATGAAAGATGTGTTGATTCCTATATTTTAGTGGTATAAAAATTTATATTTTAAAATTGATTAATTAACTTTCCTTTTAAAATGTGTAAATTAGGTAGGGGTGGGCGCAGGTCGGTTGCGGCCACGGAACCTCCAATCCGCCATCCGTCCGCCAGATTGGCGGATTGAAGAAAATCAATCAGCATCCGTCCGCCAATCCGGCGGATGCGGACTGAGCGGATTGACGGTTTGGCGGATGGATACGAATCGGTTTGGCGGTTTGAAATTTTATAAATTTTCAACATAGTTCAACTTGTGCACTTCCTAAAAAAAAAAAAATATATTACAGTCAATGACTTAAAACATCCAAAGAAAGAAAATTTGAAACTTTAGAATATCACAATCACTGCATGCCTCATCCACATATTACAATCATAACATGTCTCGTCCACATAAAGTATTACAATCTATGGTTCTTAAAATATAAAAACAATTCAAACTACCAAAACCATGAACAGAGCAATAATAAAGATTGTATGTCTATGTATTGTTACATTTATATATGTTTTTTAAAACAAAAATCAACCAGCATATCATATTTTCTATTTAGTATTACTTTTAGAGTTAGATTTAAAAATAAAAAAAATATAGATAAATAATACGTTTATTTTTTTCAATTCAAAAAATATATTCAAGTTGAAACCTTTTTTTCAACAAAATATTTGAACTCTTTTTCAATTGAAAGCACAAACAAAATATTTAAATAAATTGAAAACACAAAGTCTTATAAATTACTAAGGGTGCTCGCGGTTTGGCGGTTCGGTTGCGGCCAAAGGAACCTCAAATCCGCCATCCGTCCGCCAAATTGGCGGATTGGAGAAAATCAATCCGCAACCGTTTGTTCGTCATCACGCATCCGTCCAAAATGCGGCGGATCAATTCGGTTCGGTCGGTTTTGGCGGATCGGTATATCCGCTACTCGCCCCTAAAATTAAGGCATAAAACTATTCAAAATTTTAAAGAGAATAATTAATAATTAACTTTCCTTTTACATAGATCAATTACTATATTTTTTAAATGATTCAATAAAATCTAGCTAATAGAAGATTTTTTGATTATTTAAAAATTAAAAATTCTAGAAAAATAGTATAAGGGTTTTGAGTTTCACGAGGGCCTTTTCATTAGAAGCTCCATTTTTCTTAATATATATAGATTACACGGTGTGGTTGATTAGGGGCATTTGTTTGGAAGGACTAGATAAAAGGAAATTACAATGTAATGGACTATTCAATTTTAGATAAATAATTTTTGGCCTATTTGGTTAGAAAATTATGTGTATTTGATTATAGTCTAGTTTTAATTTTCTAAACAACTGATAGAATAGTAAATTTATTGGATATAAAATACAATCCCATGAAACAAATGGGGTTGATTATGTTTTATATTTTAGATTTGACAGAGAAATGGGAAGCAAAGGGAAATGTAACAAATAATTGGTTTGCATTTCATACATATTTCGTTTCACTTCTTGTTTTATTTTTCAAATTAAACGTAGAATCCTAGATTCAAATACAATATACGAGATTGGGATTGCTACTGCGCATGGTGCGCAACAGAAACTATTGTGCATCTTATTGAACTCATTTTAGGGATTAATTTGATAATTTGAACCGTTCACATTTTAAAAGATATCGAATAGAATATATCAGTAAAAAATCACGTCAATTGAATATCATTGGCCCTTTCATCAAATCACATTTGTATTTAAAAAAAAAAATATAATTTTAAATATAAAACTCAATGCAAATGTGATTTGATGAAAGAGATAATAATATCTGATCGACATGATTTTTTATAGATATATTCTATTTAATGCCTTTCTAAAATATGAATAATTTAAATTATCGAATTAAGTAATGAAATAGGCCCAATAAAATATGTAACAGTTGCTGCTGCGTACCATGTGCATCAACAATTCCAGTCACACAATATACACGTTTTAGTTTAGCGGTTATTGTTCATCAATTTTTATTTGTTGATCATTTATGAAAAGTTTTGATTGTCAATGCCTCTGTGTACCTTCTATTTTAGTAAAGACAAATCAAATAAAATTATATGGTTAATTATTAAATTAATTTAATTTTTTTAAATGATCAACGTACATAAACTAGTAAGATGAACTATTCAGGTACTATTTACATCACCTAAAGGGGACAAGCTACATTCCACATGGTGGGTGGTCGATTGCAAAAGTGCAATCTAAAATATACATGTATATATTGATAGAAATATTAAGAATTTACAATGTATATATATCAAATTGAATGATGAAACTATTTTATGCCAATGTGACATTTTCAAGTAGTGCAATAAATGATTCATGAATATAATATAATTCATAAATTTTCTGTTGACATTTGTAGAGGCAACATGAAGAACAACATTATTTGGGTGCAACATTATGGGGGATAAGTTTCTTTCATATCTTATCTCTCTAAATTTTTTTATATTCCTTTCATGAATTTTAATTTGGACTTACATTGATGATTCGAACCGTCTATTTCTTAGGCTTTGTAATAAAAGTCATCGATATAAAAAAATTAGTTTCATCGGACAACTATAAACGTAGGAATAGATCGTATTTTTTTTGTAAAATAGATGATTTAAATTTAATTATATTTACTATTCATTTTATAAAATAAAGTGTTATTTATTTGGGAAAATCGGTCTAGGGTCCCTCTCTCACTTTTCGTAATGGAAGAGGTCCACAAAATTATATTATAATGTCTAAGGTCCCTACAGAGAAATTTCATATCCCTCACCCTTCAAACCTCTATAAACCAATTCGATGATTTGTCTCTCCATTCTAGAGAGAGAATCTAGAGAGAGAGAGCGCCATAGTTGCATTGCAGATCTGTTGAACAGACATAGAGGCTGCCTACTTCAATGATTCTCAACGTCAGGCAACAAAGGATGATGGTGTTATTGCTGGACTCAATGTGATGCGTATCATCAATGAACCTACTGCCGCTGCCAGGTGTCCATACACG